GCCAAGTCGACGAGGCCCGGTCGACACCATCGCTCGGCCATGTAGCAGCTGACGACGCTGAGAACGCAAACGAGCGCGGTGAGACCGACGCGCGACGCGTTGCCAATCTCGACGTAGCCGCTTACGCAGCGTAACGCCGTGTCCATGTCCACAAAGTCGCAGTGTCGATCGAGCACAGCGACATACACTTGCGGCGACGCGGCTGTCCAGGCAGCCACCGACCCCCACGCAAGAAACGAGCTCTTCATCGCATAGTACGACGTGTACGGACCCGTGACGCAGCTCCAGAGATCGTTCAGTACATAGACCAGCCACGTGCTCTCGGCGCTCGCAACGATTCGCTTGTACCACGGCAAGCTCGGCACCGAAAACCACGTGCCATAGCCGATGCGCGTGAGCTGGAGCGTGCTCGTGTTGAGGAGCCACATGGCCGTGATCGCGCGCACGATGAGGAAGAGCCGGCCGATCCAGACATGGCCGACGATCCGGTTGAGCTCAAAGAGGTTGAGGCCCTCGACGTGGCCCCGCTGCGCTAGTGTGCTAAGTGCGACGCACGCCGCGACGCACAAGAGGACGGTCGTGATGTACTGGACGACGCACTGGAAGAGGTACGAGAGCGAGTGCGGGATTTTGGCTTCGTCCGGTACAAAGACGAGCGGGTGCGACCGGCTCGAGATGGCGGTGACGACGCAATGGTCGCCCTCGAACGCAACCACATCCCGTAGACCGACAATCCATTCGTAGAGATAGCACCACCCAAAGAAGCTCCACTCGTTCTCGGTCGCATCGAGGAGCGGAATGGTCGTGAGCTCGGCGGCGCTGGCGTTGTTGAGGAGGTAGAGCACAAGCGACGGCGCGGTCGTGGCCGTCCTGGCCGCCGCGAGACGCGACGCGTCGATCGATACATTGTACGTGGTTGCAAACGCAGCGTAGGCACTATAATCGGCCGCGCAGGTGCTGCTGGCGTAAATGTCGAGAGCGCAAACCGCAGTGTAGTGGGTGCGGCGACTCGTTAGCACGGCGAGGAGCAGCTGCAGCCGCGTCGGAAAGATGTACTCGTTGTAGTACGAGTGACACATGCTCGACATGCCAAAGTACGTGTTCCAGCCAAACGCGACGGCATTGGGCGGCACATCGTTCCCGCAGAGGAGGTTGCTGCCGATCGTCCATCGCTTCGCGTACGCCGATGGCAGCGCACCCATGCTGGCGGCAACCCGTAGCTCAAAGAACGCGGCCTGCGCCGACGCGTTCTGGCGCAGGAGCGTCGAGAGAGCGTTGGCTAGGCCCGTGTACACGCTGAGAAGCGCGCTTGGAAGAGGTACAAACGTCATATCCACTGCGTTGAAGGGCCCGACCGCGGCTCGGAGCGACGCCAAGCCGGCCGAGACTGGCGACGCGATGAACGAGCCGTTGGAGAGGAGTAGACGCTCGCTGGATACATTCCGGTAGGCAAAGCGGGGGCTTGAGGCGAGAAGGCTCTGACCGACGATGCGCGAGGTGTTGCAAGTGACGGCCCAGAGGTCGCTGGCGAATGCCCAGTACATCTTGCGCGACGTTTCTTGGCTCAAATGCATGAAACCTGCGCTGGCGCTGAGGCGGACAGGGTACGAGAGGCCCAGCGCGGTGCGGATCTGGATCGAATCGAGGAGACCAACGGACTTGTAGTTTTGCCACTGCAGCACAAACGTGGTCAGACCGTTGGACTGCCAGAATCTGGTTTCGTCTGGAATAGAGAGGATGTGCGCTTGCATGGTTGCGTTCAACCACATCTGGCCGTGCACCGTGCTAGCCACATCGCGGGCGATCCCAATCTCAAACGACGCGCCCCAGCAGCGCTCCCAGGCGCTCCAGTCGAGAATGTTGCGCAGCGCACTTTCCAGATACCTGGCGCCGTTCGAATCGTGAGCTGCGCAACGCGCTTGGCGCGCAGCTGTCGACGCCATCGGCCACGTACGGTTCCAGTCGAGCCAGCAGTACTGCGTGAACTTCCACGGCAGCATGCACGGGTGCATCGCGCGCAGTCCCGAAATGATCTCGTTCAAGTGCGGGTGCGGCTGGTAGAGCTGTCGGCGCGCCATTGCGTCGGGCCACACGACCGACGTTTCGGACGTGTTGTACGCTTGGTGCCAATCGCCATTCTCTGGCGCATCGAGCGCGAGCCTTCGTGGCGAGGAAGAGCTGCGTATTGAAGAGGTTGGCCACAAACGACCGGGCGCCCGTCGCATTGTATCCAGTCCAGCCATAGTCGTTGGCCCAGTATTCTCGAGCGACGCCCAAGTAAAAGTTGTTGCTATAGAGCGAGCCAAGCAAGTACGAGAACCCGCCGAGGAGC